CATACAATTTAACTTCTTAATAATTTGAGTATAAAATTTAAACTATTTGTATCATATCACAATGTGTATATGACAGTTATGAACATACACAAGCTATTAAACCAAAAGAACCATGGCTGCTTTGCCTGGGCTCTTCACGCCAGATGCGTCTCGCTCCAAAAGTTCTCCCACTCACGAGGTGAGGCAATGTCTGTTCAGATCGAACTGACTATTGGTAACTGGGTGCGAGAGAGCCCTCCGGTTCTGTTGGGAGCTGTGGGGTAACCCGGCTCGGGTCCAGAGCGCATGGGTGTCCTGGTCCCGGTCTGGAGGCTGGTCTGAAGCTTGGCCTGGGCCCGGTCCTGGAGGCTGGTCTGAAGCTTGGCCTGGCCCGGTCTGGAGGCTGCTCTGAAGCTTGGCCTGGCCCGGTCTGAGGCTGCTCTGAAGCTTGGCCTGGCCCGGTCTGGAGGCTGCTCTGAAGCTTGACCTGGCCCGGTCTGGAGGCTGCTCTGAAGCTTGGCCTGCCCGGTCTGGAGGCTGCTCTGAAGCTTGGCCTGGCCCGGTCTGGAGGCTGCTCTGAAGCTTGGCCTGGCCCGGTCTGGAGGCTGCTCTGAAGCTTGGCCTGGCCCTGTCTGGGAGGCTGCTCTGAAGCTTGGCCTGGCCCGGTCTGGAGGCTGCTCTGAAGCTTGACCTGGCCCGGTCTGGAGGCTGCTCTGAAGCTTGACCTTGCCCGGTCTGGAGGCTGCTCTGAAGCTTGGCCTGGCCCGGTCTGGAGGCTGCTCTGAAGCTTGGCCTGGCCCGTCTGGAGGCTGGTCTGAAGCTGGAGCTGGCCTGCGTCTGGAGGCTGGTCTGGAGGCTGGCCTGGCCACGGTCTGGAGGCTGGTCTGGAGGTTGTCCTGATCCCGGTCCGGAGTCTGGTCTGGAGGTTGGCCTGACCCCGGTCTTTAGGCTTGTCTGGAGGTTGGTCTGACCCTGGTCTGGAGGCTGGTCTGGAGTCTGAAGGTTGTCCTGATCCCGGTCTGAAGGCTGATCTGAAGCTTGCCCTGACCCCGGTCTGTAGGTTGGTCTGGAGGCTGCTCTGGAGGCTGGTCTGGAGGTTGGTTTGACCCTGGTCTGGAGGCTGGTCTGGAGTCTGAAGGTTGTCCTGATCCCGGCCTGGAGGCTGGTCTGGAGGTTGGCCTGACCCCGGTCTGGAGGCTGGTCTGGAGGCTGGTCTGTAGGTTGGTCTGGATGCTGAAGGTTGTCCTGATCCCGGTCTGGAGGCTAGTCTGGAAGTTGGTCTGACCCTGGTCTGGAGGCTGATCTGAAGCTTGCCCTGACCCCGGTCTGTAGTTTGGTCTGGAGGCTGCTCTGGAGGCTGGCCTGGCCCGGTCCGCAGCGGGAGACGGCCCGCCTCGGCCGTGTCGGAGCCGGCTGGGACCGGTCCCGGCCGGCGCCGCTCTCCGCCGCCGGCCCGCGCGCCCCGGCCGGCTCGGTGCGGGCGGACAACACAGCCGGCCGCCAGCCCGACGCAAAAAGCCGCCTCGCCAGTCGTTGCTCCCGCGTCGGCGCGGGCGGCGCGCCGGCGCTCGTGCCGTCGCCGCCCGCCCTGCTACCTCCGCCTCAGCTGGTGCCGCCGCCCCGGCCGGCGCCGTGACAGGAAGCCAACCTTGGGCGGACTCTGGGCGCAGTATTGTGGCCACTGGGAGACGTTTGGGTACTGCTCGGTGTATTGCAGTGGCTCCGCACGAGCTATTGGTGCTGACGTTCTAAGGAACCTTGAGCCCAACACATTCTATGGCCGGGGGGCACGTTGTTCCGATCATGTGGACACAGACGACCGCTGCGTTCGAGGCGCTACTTTCGTTTCCAAAATGTGGAGTCAAAATCCGGGGCAACATTGGATAAGTGGAAGGAAGCATCGAGGAAGACCATGGGCCCAATTTTAAGACATTCCAGCGTCTTCTCTGAAACGTGTTCGAAGCCTTTCGGCAGCGTCCTAAGTCTGCACAATATCCCCTGCTGGCCACTGCTGCTTGGTCCGAAGCCCGGATGATATCATGTTCAGGCATTTACGGCTTGAGGTCACGTGACAGCTCTGCCCGCATGTCGGCCCCAGTGGTGCGGAGTATGCCACGCATTAGCCGATGGTGGCCACGCAATGGCATCGCCCGCATGGGCCCTTTATGCTGCGGGCGTCCCGCCAGTGGCGGGAGGTCACCATCTGCATGGTGGATGGCATCAGCTGTGGGACTGCATCATACGGGGACGGGGATGAAGTCAAGGGATGGGGTTGGGGCAAAAGGGATTGACCCTCCCTGAAGAACGTGTGGATACATTGATGTGGTATGCATGCTTCTGTCGATTAATTGACATGCAAGAATCACGAATGATATTTCTACGAGGTTTCCAGAAGCGTCTATGGGTCCTGGATTGGCCAAGACGCCGTTACTGGTCTGCTACGGGCCTTGTGTTTAAAAGAGCAAGCTACGGCCAATAAAAACGACTTTGGGAGAGCCTTACGGAAACTGTAGGGCACCAACAGGTGTCGGGCCATTCAGGCTACAAACCTGGACATTAACTCCCCGCGGCGAAATCCTACCCACATGTCCGGTTATGGCGCCGTAATGACCACAGCATGCCATTACATGACGTTTCAATACTAAAAGTAGGGAACGTAATAACACTGGTCTGAATTAGTAATTGTACCACTGCGCCGCCCCGGTCCATCCTTTTAGGTTGATGACGAAGCCTAGGGCACTGTATTGCAATGAAAGGTGCAGCGACAATAGGCCATATGGACTGAGCATGGACATCGCCGTCTTCTGAACAAAAGCCATGCTTCGGCACAGCCAGCCGCGCCACGCGACGCTTGCATTGCGTGATAGGGATGTCGGGGTCTCCCGGCGGCGCCATGTCACAGCTCGGGGATCTCCAAAGGCCTCGGCCCGGTCTTCCGCAGTCGAGATGCGGTCTCGCCGTCGAGATATGGTCTCGCCTTCCCCAGTGCGAGCCGGCTTCCGTCGGCCAGCCGCGGTCAGGGACGGATCGACGCCTTCCCCAGTGCGAGCCGGCTTCCGTCGGCCAGCCGCGGTCAGGGACGGATCGGCGCCTTCCCCAGTGTGAGCCGGCTTCCGTCGGCCAGCCGCGGTCAGGGACGGATCGGCGCGGTCCCCGCACCCGTCGCAGCCGGTCGGTCCTCTGGCGCGCGCTTTCCCGAGGCCCCGCGGCCGGCCGGGGGAGGTGGGGCGAACCGGAGCGGCCCCAGATGTGTAGTCCGGGCCGCCGCCGTCCTAGCGATAGCGTCCCCCTGGCTGCGCCGGGTGTGGCGCTGCTCTCCGCCGCGTGTCGCCCTCCTCTTCGCGGGGTGACGCGCTCCTCCTCGCCGGGTGTCGCGCTCCTCCCCGCCGGGTGTCGCGCTCCTCCCCGCCGCGTGTCGCCCTCCTCTTCGTGGGGTGACGCGTTCCTCCTCGCCGGGTGTCGCGCTCCTCCCCGCCGGGTGTCGCGCTCCTCCCCGCCGTGCGTCGCCCTCCTCTTCGCGGGGTGACGCGCTCCTCCTCGCCGGGTGTCGCGCTCCTCCCCGCCGGGTGTCGCGCTCCTCCCCGCCGCGTGTCGCCCTCCTCTTCGTGGGGTGACGCGTTCCTCCTCGCCGGGTGTCGCGCTCCTCCCCGCCGGGTGTCGCGCTCCTCCCCGCCGCGTGTCGCCCTCCTCTTCGCGGGGTGACGCGTTCCTCCTCGCCGGGGTGTCCGCGCTCCTCCCCGCCGGGTGTCGCGCTCCTCTCCGCCGGGTATCGCTCCCGGCTGCGTGGGGTGCAGCCGTCCGTCCGTCTTGTCTCTGAACGGGATGGGGCGTCACAGGGTGTCTGGGTGATGTCTGAATGTGACCTGCATGAAGCTGTCGGCCACCATACGCTTGGATCGCGGGGCTGCATCGAGCTCCCTGGAAACGATTTTCGTTCATCGATAAGCCCACATTGATATGGTAGTATCGCTGCGATGGCCGGTAAAAGGAGGGCCCCAGATGATATCGGTGGGCGGCGGTGTTGTGAGCCAAACCGTTCGCAGACGTCTCCGTACGCAACACACCGACTGGCCACTGTGACGACAGGTGCTCCAGTTTCCGCGTGTGAGTCACGACACGGCAAAGGCGGGGCTGTTGCCAGGGCCCTGGCGGCACGTGTCTTTCCTCCTTCGGCCTTGACCGCGGACGTTCCCGTCAGCTGTGACCGACCCTCCCCCGCACTGCGCTGGTCAATCAAAACAAACCCAGACTCTCACTGGTCTCCTACAACCGCGCCGGCCGCTCAGAGGCGATCCGCCGCTGCCGGTCGAAGGAAAAACACCCTTACGCCTCCCGAGACTTACTATATTGAGTCGAGCGCCGACGCGCGCTCGAACCAGGGGAGGCAGACGGGGGTTCTCTTCCGCCGCAATGTTTCAAGTGTTTATGCCTCGAGCAGACCAAGAATGTGGAAAGGAATTTGACTGGTTTGAATGACAGTCTTGTGGCGTGAACTGGGGGGGAATTTGCGCTTCGAATCTTTATGTGGCTTGTAGCGGGCGCAGTTTTTTCGGACAATTTGAAAACAACTGCGTTATGGACAAGACATTGGTTAAAAAACACTGCTTCGAAACATGAAGCCTACCGCTTGCTCGTGTGCATTGCCCCGAAGCGCTGGCACGGATTTTTTATGTTACTGAAGACGTGTGATGCGTTTAGTATTTAACCAGCATTACAACTCAGAACCAAACGGTGTCAACGCACCACATCCGCGTTCAAAATGCTGAAAAATGACTGAATCCATAAACTTATGAGATGCGTTCGAAGGCGGTATTATCCCATAAAATACAAAAGCCGTGCTTGCGCAAGTACTCACACATTGCTTTTGATAATATTGACGTATTCGTGTACTAACAATACAGCACTGTCGCATGCTGACGCAACCGCTCAGCTGCGCTGGCTCATGCTGGAGACGATGCCTGTCCGCTCCAGACGTCCAGCCCGAGGGGCGCGCATGACTGTCGTCCTGTCCTCGGTTTCAGGCTTCCACCTCAGCGGCCTGGTACACTCGTCCAAACCGACGATGCCTCTGCCGCCCGGCTACAGCATGGAGCCTGAAAAGAAGTACAAGGTTTCGGTCAGTTTCGACAGGTACGTGCCAGCAGGCCGCAGTCTGCTGTGACCTAGCGCCGCCGCCGCCGGACCTCTTCAGCCGCCGGTGGGGAGGAACTCAGTTTAGAATGCGTTATAAATGAACATCATACCGGTTGTTTTGACAACCTTAACGGCAGACTTCACCACCATCGTAAACGCATGCTTCGTTTTGTTGCGTCTGTGGCGTACGTATTATATTTAGCTTATTGTAACAGCGCCATATGAATGGACGTGTTTTGTCTGGATGGCTTTAGAAGGCCTGAGTCGTCCCAAGAACCTAGGAGTTCCCAAGTGGAGATGGTCATACGGTCACCATGACGTAAGAAGCAAAGGGCATCCAGGGTGAAAAGTGACTCAGAGCTGCCCAACCGGCCAGGGCACCTGAACGAACGGGGTCGAAAACAATCTGAATGACTGAACATGTCTTTAAACACGTACTGACCACCAGAATGAGACCGATATGTCGAGGATGTGACCAGAACAGCAACCTGCACTGAGATATGTCAGCTGGCGTTGATCGACCGTTTTCGAGGCCTTTTGGATAAAACGCGCCTGTTTCCAAGCTTAAGGTCACCTCAGTTACAACGACGTCTGTTTCCAGGTGTAAGATCACATCTGTGACGTGCACGTGCGAGACGCGCGACATCTTCTGGTGCAAGCACGTGGTGGCGCTCTCCCTCTACCGGATCCGAAACGCCGAGACCGTGAAGCTGCGCGTGCCCATATCAGGTGAGCAGGTGACCTCCAGGGCCGCCTGGTCAGTCGGATCGGCCGTTTGGATACCTTAACACCGGGTGTTGTAATGAATAGCAGTTGCCGACATCGTTATGTTGCGACGACTACGTCCAGGGGTTCAGGACTGGGGCTTCGGTAGGCTGAGCCGATTAACAGGCACGCAAATTTTACTTTGAGCGAAACGGGACGTTGATCTCTGGCATTACCTGGCAACGCAAGCGCGAGAATTCGCAGCAGATTGCCGTGAACAAGTGCCGTGAACTTTCATAACTTGCGTGTTTTCAGACCAGAATCGGCTATTGGGCCTCTGAAAGCCAGTCAACAAAGCGTGCTCTTTAACTCTGGATCCTGCGGAAGCCTACGGGTGTTTTTAGGAGTTGTCTGGAACCTTGAAGGAAATTAGAAAAAAAGCAGCTGCAGCTGGACAAACACCGGACCGTGCAAGCCGAAAGATTTGTCCGTAAAATGCTCGGCAGGATCTCGCCTGCTCTCAAGCACATTTGTAACACGAAGCTTTTGTCGGATTTTGATGCATCCGGATGCAGGCGAGAGGGGTCCTCATCTGGGTCCCGGGTTGTATGTCTGAGCTGCGGACCGTGTCTGGCTGCGCTGCGTCATGATCCATGGGTCCTATGTACGCTGATCCGCACACCAGCCGCTGCCACACACATGGCGCACCGCGGGAGCTCGCCGGCTGCCGAGCCAGGGGTGTCGCCATGTTACCACCGACCGCGCCCCGAGTGGGGCGGGGCCTGCGGGGAGGTGGAGGGGGTTGACCGGATCGTGCCGGGAAGGAGCGCGAGGGAGTCCTTCGGCGCGGCCGTATCTCGCGTTGGGTGTCCCCTGGAGGCTGGCCCAGCACGACCGGCCCGGCCCGGCCCGGCCCGGCCCGGCCTGCACGCCACACGCACGGCCGATCGATACTCCGCCCCGGCCGGCGTGCTCCCGGCGGCCCCGGGCTCATTACGGTCCGGGGTGAATCAGAGTCACAGCCGGCGCCGGCCTCGGCCGCGGCCGCCACCGGACCGGAGGCCGGCGTCGCCAGCGTCGCCGGCTCTGTGCCAGCCCCCGACCGGTCTCGGGCCCCGGCCGGCCCGCCGCCGCCAGTCACTGAACCCGGCCGCCGTTATTGGTTTATCCGCTTCGTCTCGGTCGATGGGGAGGGGGACGGGACGGCGTTTTAGGGGGCCTGCCGCCAGTGGGGGCCTCTCGGTGGGACGCGAAGTCAGCGCAGCCTCCACACCACCGCCTGGGCCCAAGCGTGCCGATGTAGAGTAAGCGGATGGGTGAGATAGGTGCTGAGCATTGCACTGTTGGTTATGTCCATGTCAGACTCTGGAAAGGCACAGACACGCAGTCATTCGCAGTTCGCCGCAGGTGGCTGACGGTGCGAAAGCACTGTTTGCCTGTGTGTTCATCGAACCCGTGGGGCTGGTGGAGCCCCGCATACGCATCTGCTGGGTCAGTCGTACACCCCTATCACGCAGAGCATTAACCCTGCGCGAACTCCCGAGTAGTCATTAACGCACCATGGCTTCAAGGATAACTTTACCGTTTCGTCATCATCATTTATTCGTCGAGCGAGCACACACTTCGCAGCTCAGCGCCGCGTCACGACCGCGGACCGAGCCCATGGGGGCTCGTAACAAAGCTCATTCGCAGGCCGAAGCCGACCATGATTCACTTTTCATTCGGTGTGCATGGCACATGTGCAGTCTCGCGTTTCGGGCTCGGCCGGCGGGGTGCCCGCGGCCCTGACGGCGGACACGGTCCTGTTGCAGAGACCCTGTTCCAAATGGACCGGCAGCAGCTGCAGAAGTTCGTGCAGTACCTGATCGCTGAGCACCACACGGAGGTGCTGCCGACGGCGCAGCGGCTGGCCGACGAGATCCTGCGACAGCGCTCCGAGATCAACCGGATACAGGGTGGGTAGAAACCGAGCACTCTGAGATCAGCGGATGCAGGGTGGGAAGGGATCGGTCACTCCGAGAATAACCAGATACAGGGTGGGAAGAGATCGATCACTCCGAGAACAACCGGATACGCGGTGGACAGAGATCGGTCACTCCGAGATCAACCGGATACAGGGTGGGTAGAGATCGATCATTCCAAGATCAACCGGATGCAGGGCGGGTAGAGATCGATCGCTCCGAATTTAACCGGATGCAGGGTGGGAAGGGATCGGTCGCTTCGAAATCAGCGGAATAAAAGGTAGGTCAATATACATCTTTCGGAAATTAGCCTGATTGGGGATGGGCTGAGACTGGCCATGCAGCAGTCAACCGACTGGAAGGTCGACTGATATAAGAGTTCCGAGATCATCTCATGCAAGTTAGTCCCTCCGAGACGAATCGCCGGGAAGTTGTCCGCCGCGAGATCTATCGGGCACAAGAGCGGCCGAAATCTACCGTTTCGAGTTTAGCCGGCTGCTAGCTGGGCGGTGACCGGTCTGCGGGACCAGCCGGCTGCTAGCTGGGCGGTGACCGGTCTGCGGGCCAGCCGGCTGCTAGCTGGGCGGTGACCGGTCTGCGGGACCAGCCGGCTGCTAGCTGGGCGGTGACCAGTCTGCGGGACCAGCCGGGTGCAGTCTGGGTTTAGACCAGCCCCAGGCCAGCTGAGTGGACGGAGCTTGGGCCGGCCTCGCCATTGCGATCCTGTCTCCGCGCTGGTGAGGTGGGCTGGCACCAGCCGAGGGCGGAGGCACGGGGCGACAAGAGACGGCCTTGCGCCTGCGCGTGGGTGTGGGTCAGGCTCCACAGGCTCCTGATGTGTGTCCAAATGAACTCAGGGAGACGGAGCCCAGACCGCCGGTTTGAACGCGCTGGGCGGACACTGCGGGACGCTCGGCCTTATCGCGGCGCCGCGGCCGAGGGGCGCACTTAACCTGCCTGGCCTGACGCATCATCGGCGCATTCACAGATGTGCGAGGCTCGGCGGCACGAGTGTGTCCTAAAAGTATACGACGGCCGTAAGATTTACAGCCCCGAGCACGCGTTCGTGTGACGTTTGACCTTTTCCCGACCTGTTTCCGAGTGATGTGAACACCACACCTGGCACGGTTTCGACATTCCGTGGTGCTCCCGCCCGGGCGGTGCCCCTGGCCGGGCAGGAGCACTGCTCACCGGCTGGTTCCTACCTCGCCGTGCCCAGACAGTTCGTGTTCCCCCATCGCTGGTTAATCCAGGTGATGTGGAACGCCTCACGTCGCTATGGGCGCCTCCTGTTCGCCTCTGAAAGGTGGCTGCGCGCCCCTGAAAGGAGTTTGTTCAGGTTCCGACCGCCTTTCGCCTAGGCGCCGTGGTCGGATAATACGCCATTGTCGCCGTACCCCAGTGTAAATTTTCGCCGTTGGAAAGCCAGCGCTCGTCGGCGCGGGTGGATTAGACTTGGCCGGCAGCTGGCGGCGGGTCTTGAAAGGGTGCTGTTTGCTCGGCTCCGCCCGGTGGCCGCTCCCCTGGCGCGGAATTTGACGGCGTCGCCGCCCGGCGGCGGCCGCTGCGTCACGTCGGGCGAGCGGGGACGCGCGGTGAGCGGGTCCGAGGTGCGCGGAACGGCGGATCATCGGCCGCCGGGGTCGCGCACCCGGCCAACTCGCCAGGACTCGCCGCTCGGCCCTCTCGCGCCGACTGGGAACGCGGGCACGTTGGAAATGAGTGGATAGTGAAGGCACGGTCGCCGAGAAGGCTGTGGTCGTATTGCTACGCTACTCTGCCATTTTTTTTTTTTTGTCGTGACTCATCGGGAATCTATCACTGAAGAAGAATGCTTCCTTCGGGACTGCCTGGCCCGAAATATCGCGTTACCATAGTAACGCAATGGTTGAGTTAAGAGGTTTGGATGCATGGAAAAGAACATGGACGTGCACAAATGCTACCAAGCGTTGGCAAATAGAAAAAATAATTCCAACTTTTCGGAGGCTAGCGGTCTCGACGTGCGCCCATGGTTCTACCCCACAAGCTATCAGTGGACGATCATTTTGACAGCTGGGTACCCTCTCCCTCCCTCGTACTTTTTAACCGTTTCCAGGCGTGCACGAGGCTACCCGTAGTGCGCGTGCGTGCGTGCGTGAGTGCGTGCCTGCGTGCGTGGATAAGTGCAGAACGCACGCAGGCCCACGGGGCGGGTCTGAGAGCCAGATGTAATGCCATCTGCCCAGCCAGCGTCGTAGACAGCAGTCTGGTCCAAGCCTTCTGCCCAGCTGGCGTTCAGAGGCAGCAGCCCGACCCGTCACTGACGTCACTCCCCGCTCGCCTGGCGCGATGGCGTCACGCATCTCACCCAGATATCACTGTGTGCGTCCAGAGGTGGTGGTCTGGTCCACCCCTGACGTCACTTTCCGGCCGAGCTGTGTGATGACGTCATGCATCTGACGCCGACAGACCGGTGATCTGCGAGCATAGACGGGCGGAAGGGAGCCGCGGCCGGCACTTGCCGCTGGGTTGGTGTGGCTGCCCAGCGGGGATGGCTGCCCGACAAGGGTGGCTGACCGGCTGGGATGCCTGGCCTGCTGGGGGTGGCCTGCCTGGCAGGGGTGGCTGGCCGACGGGGTTGGCTGCCCAGCGGGGACGGCTGGTCGGCGAGGGGGGCTGCCTGGTGAGGGGGCTGCCTGGTGAGGGGGCTGCCCGGTGATGGTGGCTGCCCAGCGGGGATGGCTGCCCGACAGGGACGGCTGGCCCAACGGGGATGGCTGGCCAGCGGGGACGGCTGGCCAGCGGGATGGCTGGCCAGTGAGGGTGGCTGCCTGGCTGGGGTGGTTGCCCGCTGGTGTGGCGTCCCGTCTGGGGTGGCGCGCAGTGCCGCGCGTTTCTGCATTTAGTTTCGAGTGCAGGCCACCGCTCGATCCCGCCTGTCGGCCCGTGCAGTTAAGTCAGGGCACGATGTCTGCAAACGGCGGTGTTGGCTGTCGGGACGTGCAATGTTTGGTCGGGTGCCAGTCTACATGCCGAAATGTTCCCGGCATTTCGCGACACCGCACGCACGTTACTAAGTAAGCCCACCAAAGCATGGCAGCTCTCGCGGCGACTGCAATAGGATGTTCGCTCGCCACAGTGATTTGACTCAGCCTGTGCACAGCGCAGCACACCAGCATGGTGCGTGGGAATGAAGGAACAAAATACCCGAAGTGAGACAAGCTGCGTGGGTCTGGGTTCTCTAGCGACCGAACCGGCTAGGTGTGAGGTCTTCACCACCGTGTGTGTGTGTGTGTGCGTGTGTGTGTGAGAGAGACTCGGGCAACTGACCAGGCCTAAAGCGTCAGCGGTTTGCTCATGTGGCGGGTGGTTTCCTGACTGGAGACCGGTCCTGCCTGGGTGCTCAGCGATGCTCTCTGTCCCTGCAGGCGCGCCCGACCCCACGGCCGGTGCCAGCGCCGATGCCGAGAACAGCTGGCACCTGGACGAGGAGCAGGTGCGGGAGCAGGTCAAGTCGTACCTCTCGCAGGGTGGCTATTGCAGCTCCAACAAACAACTCAACTCCATGTTCGCCAAGGTAATGCGGCCGTTACGCTGCGCTATGAACATTTTGCAAAGCGATAGCTAAATGAACATGCCTGATTTTGAGATGTGCTGTGCTTGGTTTTGTTTCGCACTATGAGGCACCTTGGGCAGGACGTTTGACGTCATTTTTGGGTCCTTCCAGTAGATTATGCCTAAAAATTTCCCCCTATTCTTCCACAGCGGATTTTTTTAGCGATCGTGGACTCGGGTTGCCTTGACAGCCTGGATCGGCAGACGCGCGTCTTTTCCTCATCGTGGGGAGGGGGAGGGAGAAAGGCGTCCGTGGCGCTCGGTGACCCTGCGGCCGCGCGCCGGGCCGCGCAGGAGCGACCCGCGCCACTCCACGCGCCCGGTACCCGGCGAGCACAGCCCCGCGCCGGACGGCGCCAGGGTCGCGAGTGCCGCGGCGCGCGGCGTCACGTGACCGTCGTTCGCCTGTCGGCCACCAGGTGCGCGAGATGCTGCGCGCGCGCGACTCGAACGGCTCGCGGATGCTGATGCTGATCACGGAGCAGTTCCTGGCCGACCCGCGCCTCATCCTGTGGAAGTCGCAGGGCAACCCGATGCAGGACCGCTGCCGGCAGCTCTGGGATCAGCTCGGTGCGTCGGCTGACAGCCTGCGCGCTGCAGCAGAGAAGTTAGCTGGTAGACTGCTGACGCCCCAGGCGAACATGCGCTGAACTGTGGCGTTATTGTCTTTGATGGCCTGGCAGTAAGCACCGAAAATGGTTCGCAACATTCTTGTACTCAGACCTTTTGCATTATTTACTAATGAGGATTATCACGTTATAAAATTATTAATCTGAATTAATTTGTAACTAACTTGCCACGTATTTAACATGCCTTCATTTCCAAGCTGCGTGCGGCAGCGTTGACCAGGACTCCCTGCTGTCCAGGCGCCCTGTGGGTCTGCGTCACGCTTAGTCCGACCAGCACCAAGCTGGACAAGGTGCGGTGGCGGGAGCTGCTGTCGCGCTGGGCCCAGGTGGAGTTCTGTCCACTGGAGGACCCCGACTACCGCGCCCCCCAGCGAGCAGCGGGCGGCGACCGCAGCGACGCCGTTCCGGTCAGTACCTACGGTTGGGGAGAGGGGGGAGGGGGGGCTGAGGCGTAACTGCACCGTACTCCGCCCCTCGTAGAAAGCCGTAGTGCAGTTCGGGAACATACTTCCAAAATAAGCAGATCCCCCAGGAAATATAGGCAATGAAGTGTGTGAATATGATGGAACAGCGCGGCCGTTGGCACTACTCGGTCATGCCGCGAATCGGCTAGCCAGGTGTGGTGCCTACTGCGCCGTCAGGCAGTGCGTGACCCCCACCGGACCGTACAGCGGTGGTCCGCTGCTGTGTGTGCCGCCCCCGTTCACTGGCGCTATCACCCCTGCCAGTGGCAGCATTCCCGAGACCGACTCAGCTCCAGCGAGGACAGCTCGGACGACGACGTGAACATGTCGGAGGGCCCGCCACCGCCAGCCTCGGCCCCAGTGCCCGCTCAGTCCAGCCCGACGCCGCGCACCGTGTTCCACAGGTGAGGCCGGTGCTGCGCCGGTCCCGACGGGCTCGGCCCGCTGTGAAGCCTCGGAGCGAGAGAGCGAGAGCGAGAGAGAGAGCGAGAGAGAGAGAGAGAGAGAGAGAGAGAGAGAGAGAGAGAGAGAGAGAGAGAGAGAGAGGAGAAGAGAGAGAGAGAGAGAGAGAGAGAGAGAGAGAGAGAGAGAGAGAGAGAGAGAGAGAGAGAGAGAGCCAGAGAGCCAGAGAGCCAGAGAGCCAGAGAGCCAGAGTGAGCGAGAGCGAGAGGCACCAGGCTGTTTGGGAGTGTGGGTTCGTGGCTCGCGCCGGCTCAGCGGCGGCGGCGTGCTCAGCTGCAACTAGAGCCCTGATTAACGGGGCGCGGCAGTCATGGATCCGCCCACACGCGAGCTCAAATGCCGCTAGGCTGAGCCCTCGTCATCGCCGACTTACGGCCCGACTTACGAACATTGCCCCCTTAGTCATCGGCGTTGCTTTCAGAGATGGTGCGGACCAGCGTGACGACGTGTTGTAATAAGGCCGCAGTTATGTGGCCGGTGTCGCGTAACGGCCACCTGTGGCCTTTTACTGCGGTCATCCAACTGCAACCCGTATCTCTCGCATAATCCGTTTTTCACATTTTCTTTTTGTCATTTTTGTCTCCGCAACAGACCTCTGACATGGGCGTGCGGTAGTGCGGTATCATGTATGGTGCGGAAACCAGTTAGACCACGGCATAACGTTCCGAAGGTGGCATCTTTGCGCCCGTGTGCCGGTGTTTTGCCGTGGTGGCGCGGTCTCAGCACGTGGCATCAGCACGTCCTTGGTCCCGCAGAGACATCGACGGCACCTACCTGACCTGGACAACGAGCATCTGCGGCAGATCTTGGCGCACGACGCGCCACCGCCACCGCGCCAGTGCCACTCCGCCAACTACGACGCCCAGGGACAAGCCGCTGTGCGAGGTGGGTCACGATGTAGGAGCAGCCGCTGTGTCGCGGTGGGTCACGCTGTAGGGACAGCCGTTATGGCGAGGTGGGTCACGCTGAAGGGACAGCCGCTGTGGCGCGGTGGGGTGACGCTGTAGGGACAGCCGCTGGGTCACACTGTAAGGGCAGCCGCGTTGGCGAGGTGGGTCACGCTTTAGGGACAGCCGCTGTGGCGAGCTGGGGCACGTTGGTTTTTGATCAAAATATCGTGTACGTCGATGTTTATTAAGTAACGCGGACCAAGTGTGGCAGGGACAGGTACTGTTTTGTTGGAGGTGATCAGGACCTAAAGCGGCATGCGATGAGTTAACTACCACTTAGAGTAGCAAACTGCTGATGAATCGGTTGTGGATTAAAAAGTCACCTGCCGCATGATCTTCTCATGCACTTGATATTCTTATTCTAGGCATCAGTTTCGTCGTTTGCCTCACAACTATTCTGCGAGCTGTTGCGATCAGCGTGGGCCCTCTGGACGCGAGCGTGCGACGGTGGTTTTTCATAACAGGCCTTTGAAAGTGAAGAGGCGACAGTATGACTGGTAATCGGATGAATTTTGATCAAGCTTTCTCTTTCGGAATTATGGCTACCTTGTTGCTCCTGGTAAAGGGGTATTTTTTGACCAGTCACATATTTTTAAGCCTGGCTAGTAGATTTTAAATCAATATCATTCAGTGTTCATGTGGGGTGTCTTTCTCTGTGCGTATCAGAACATCGTTGCCTAACGAAAGTTTCCCTCACTTGATGTCGAATACAAAGCCATTCACCGGCAAGATTTCTTCACCCCCCCCCCCCCCCTCTCCTCCTCTTGGCTTGTCAGTGGAACCAAGAGCGTCCCGTCCGTGTCCTGACGGGATGTCGATTTCACCTGTCACTTTACTACCCGTTCTGAACTGCCCATCAACCGCGTGGCGATCGCTTACCGCCTCTGCAGCGGCTTGTCTGGTCATTGGTCTCGTCGGGATGGCCGTGACGTCATGTGGGCACGTGACGTCTCTGGGCAATGCCAATGATCTTAACAGTTACATGCGTGGAGAAACAGCAAAACATAGCTATCGGCGACGCCTCGAGCGCGAGTAAGACGCCTCGAGTGCGGGTGAGACGCCTTGAGCGCGAGTGAGACGCCTTGGGCGCGAGTGAGACGCCTTGGGCGCGAGTTAGACGCCTCGGGCGCGAGCGAGACGCCTTGAGCACTTGTGAAACGCCTGCACCGGTCTGTTCCAGAGCACCTGCCCACGGCCTGCGCTAGGGTCAATGCCCTGCGCTCTCACGGCTACACGAGGGAAGCACTCCGGCTGGCCACCTCGATCGTACGCACCCTGAAACTCTCCCAGGTGAGCGCGCTAGAGGCTGGTCCTGACGCCGCACACACAAACCCCGCCGCCGGAGAGGCAAGGTCGCCGTGACCCTTGACCGCTTTTTGTCGTCATTCCACCGTTCACTTGGGTGACAAGTTACACCTGATAACAGGGACATTGTGCCTTCGAATCACGGGAAGGGAGGGAACGCTTCAAACTTGTTATTATGACCAAGATTGTCCCAAAACTTGCACAAACCTAGGTTTTGACCTGCCTCATTGGCATGGATGGGCCAATCACCTTAATTTACGCGGCGCTGAGTAGATAATTAGGGACTGTAGCCGCCTACTGAGCCGAAACCTCAGCCAATTTGACCTGTATCCTGCCACGCTTAAAGTCTGGTGGCATGATTTGGAGTAAATTGATGAGCGTTAACCACGTATAGCATAGGGATGTTCCAATGATAGCCACTCTGGTGCTTGTAACCATATTTTGTGGTCACAGCTGTAGTATGTATTCGCGATGGCCCGATGCATGAAGCAGACGTTTCGTGAAGTATGCACAGCTGACGTTGCCTAAAAACGTCACATGCGTTATCGCCGTTTTTCCAAACGCTCTGGTGGGCACAACGGCCGTTTCCCAAAGCTGTAGTGTGTGTGCAGCGGCCGCGCGAGGGCAGCTCCGTCTGACGGGCGCCCGGCGCATGCCTCAGCTGCAGGCGCAGCGCCGCTGGGAGGAGGAGAAGAGCCGCGTGCTGGCGCGCTGCAGCTACTCGGGCGTCTCGCAGAGTCCGACGCACGCGTGCCAGGAGGGCTGGATCGGACACCCGCTGGACCCGGTCGGCGCCCTGTTCGACACGCTGGCAGAAGCGTCCGTGCTGCCGGACGCGCTCGGCAAGTGCTGCTACTTCTCAGGTGCGTGCCTCCCGCGTTGCGGCGGCTGATTACGCTGTGCGGTAGGGGCAGGTGGGCGGGTGCACGGTGCGTCGTCTGCTGTGTGGGATGGGGTCTAGGGTGACCATACAGTGCTGTGGTCGTGGCGTGTACCCCTTTCAGTTGTGTGGAGGAGCAGGTCATTTGAGCCTACCTGCGTTATATGAACGTTATCAGCATCCTGCGTTATGCTGAACTCGCTATTTTTACCTTTGCAGTGTATGTGTCACACCATTTTGCTTAGTAAGACATGGTGAGGCGGTGCTTGAGGAAGGTTTGATAACGTTACTGACACGATATTTCGGTGCCTAAACTGCGGTCTGTAGAGTGTCGCGGGTAGCATGTTTTTCTCCCAACACTATATGTGCCGCAACAATGATAAACGGCTTCCTTGCGCGTAGCCGTGTCCAGCTGAGGGACCACCGCCGTCTGCCTGCCCCGTGCTAGCCTCTCCCCTTTGGCATCCGGGGGCCCGGTACCGCAGTGCCGACGCCCGGACTGGCGTTCTCACTGGCCGTTCTCACCCGGCGCTCTCGCCTGACGCCCTGGCCGCTCGCCGTCCGCAGAGCCGGCCGGCTCCAGCGACGACGGCAGCAACGTGACGCCACCACGCTATCACCACGTGCCGGTGCCGGGCTCGCGCGACCGCGCCGAGACTCTGCTGACGCTGGCGGCCGAGGTGGCGCTGCTGTCGCTCGGACAGCAGCGCATCATGCCCGTCGGCCTGTACGCCCAGGAGAAGGCCTGCAAGCAGGAGGATCGGCTCATCGCCAAGCTGACCGAGATCGAGGCCGACGGCCTGCTTGTGGCGGTACGTGGACCATCGGCGGGCCTGTGCTCGGCGTGGTCAGGTGGGAGGGGTCCGAAGTGGCGCTGTCACTAACGAGAGTGCGCAGGCGGACCTGTCTTCGCTGAAGCTGTCCCTCTATACGCGTCCGTTGATTACAATGAATGGACAATGGACGCGAAGAAGCTATTTCATTCTGCTGTCCTGGTTTGGAAATTCAAAACCTGTGTCTGAGCCCATCGTTGGCCGGGCGTAGCGCTCTAGCCGAACGGAGGGTTATATAGACAATGCGAACACGAATAAATTAGACCAGGAATTGTGTCAACGAGTGATTGCGCATGCGGCGATATAGGATACAAAGAAATGACGCTCAGCGAAATGTGAACTGCGGAATTGCGTATGTGAAGTACAGCGAATTTTACGTTTTGATTTGCGACATTGACCTGCGAAGGTTGCGTGGGTGTAGATTGGCGTGCGTATATATATATATATATATATATATATATATATATATATATATATATATATATATATATATATATATATATATATATATATATATATATATATATATATATATATATACTTTACCGACGAGAAGCGCATGAAGAGGCTGTACACATATGACGGTAGGCTTGGCGTGCCAGGAGGCATGGCGCGAAGAAACGCGACGCAACGTTCCATCCGGGAACTGCTGAGCTGTATCTGGTGGTCTGAACAGCTGTGATCTGGCGACGATTCCGTCCTGACCAGCGTTCGGTGGCCTGTGCCGTGTTCTGACCAGCGCTCCGTGGCCTGCCCCGCGTCATGACCTGCGCTCCGTGGCCTGCCCCGTGTCCTGACTTGCGCCCAGTGACCTGCCCCGTGTCATGACCAGCGCTCCGTGGCCTGCCCCGTGTCATGACCAGCGCTCGGTTTGCCCAGCCCGTTTCCTGACCTACGCTCGGTGGCCTGTTCCGTGTCCTGACCAGCGCTCAGTGACCTGCCCCCTGTCCTGGGCAGCTCTTGGTGGCCTGACCCGTGTCCTGACCTGCGATCGGTGGCTTGGCCCGTATCCTGGCCTGCGCTCGGTGACCTGCCCAGTGTCGTGACCTGCGCTTTGTGGCCTGACCCATATCGGCGCTTCAGGTGCTGCGGTGCCAGACGCTGCTGCTGCTAGAGGGCGGGCCCACTTCAGGCCTCGGTCAGGGCATACACCCGGAGTCGGTGCCGCTACACACGTTCGCCAAGTACCTGTTCACCACGCTGCTGCCGCACGACGTCGACCTCGCGCAGCGGGTCGGCCTGCGCGCCATGCGGTCAGTGGTGCCGCCCGGCGGCCAGCCACCGAACTACACTCGCCGCTTATCGACTCGCGAAGTGACACATGGCGCCGTGCGCCGCCGGCTGCTGTCAATTGCGTTGACATGCGCCCAAGTTTTTTCTGCTCATTGTCCGATCCCGAACGATTGCATTGCCTCCTGTTTGCTTAATGCTGTCCACACGCTGATGACAAACGTGCACTGTCACTTGTACGCCCGCGCAGACATCTGTTGCCGTGCAATACGCATTATGCTCGCTTGTTGTTTTCCGCCTGCTTACGTCTGCGTGACATTTCGCCTTTTCACGCCCTTGGTCAACGAATGATAAACTGCGGTGAGTTTTTAAGTTGCGTCTGCATGGGCACGACTGCCCTCCGTCCGTTAGCCAGCCTACCGTTTCAGCCTGCGGTTACTTCGCATGACTCTCAGGCGTTCATGACTTCATTTTGGAGCACCATGTTGACGTCACACTTCACTCTTAACAACAGAGACGTCATATGGCGTTCTTGTGCGGGCGAACTTCACGTGCTCTTGCTCGCACCTGGCGCGCCCGCCGTCTGGCTGTGGTCTGCACGTGCCCAGCGCCGTGCTGGCGCCGTGCTGACCCGCGTCTGGTGCCTGCCGGCAGCCTGCCGATACTGGAGGAGATCGAGGACCCCGACGACGCCACCGTTTCCAACCTGGTGCTGCGCCGCTACCCGCGCTGGTTCACGCTTGGCAGCATCGAGAGCCAGCAGTGCGCGCTGGCCTCCACCATGCTGTCGGCTGTCAAAGGTGAGGCTGGCGGCCGAAACCAGGCTCGGCCCGGGCGTGGCTCTAACGGAGTATGATCAGCGGAGCTCTAACGGAACATGACCAGCGGAGCTCCAACGGAGTATGATCAGCGGAGCTCAAGCGGGGCCTGGCCAGCGGAGCTCTAAAGGAGCATGGCCAGCGGAGCTCCAACGGAGCATGATCGGCGGAGCTTTAGCCGAGCTTGGCCAGCGGGGCTCTAGCGGAACTTGGTCAGCGGAGCTCTGAATGAGCATGGCCAGCGGAGCTCTGGCGGAGCACGGTCAGCGGAGCTCTAGCGGAGCTTGGCCAGCGGAGCTGCAACGGGGCATGACCAGCGAAGCTCTAACGGAGCATGGTCAGCGGAGCTCTAGCGGAGCATGGCCAGCGGAACTCTAGCGGAGCATGGCCAGCGGAGCTCTAGCGGAGCATGGCCAGCGGAACTCTAGCGGAGCATGGTCAGCGGAGCTCTAGCGGAGCATGGTCAGCGGAGCTCTAACGGAGCATGGCCAGCGGAGCTCTAGCGGAGCATGGCCAGCGGAGCTCTAGCGGAGCATGGCCAGCGGAACTCTAGCAGAGCTTGGCCAGCGGAGCCCAGCGGAGCGTGGTCAGCGGAGCTCTAGCGGAGCTTGGCCAGCGGAGCTCTAGCAGAGCTTGGCCAGCGGAGCTCTAGCGGAGCTTGGTCGGCGGAGCTCTAACGGAGCCCGCGTCTGGTAGATGTGTGTCTTCTAGAGAGGGGTCGGGGAGGGGAACGGTTTCCGCTGCCAGCCACGTACCAAAAACGCTGCAGCCACGATTCGCCGCGTCCAGTGCGCAGAAATCACTGTGTCACGCTGTTCTTGTTTTGTGTCGGGTCACCCGGTGTGATGATCCCGGTCACTTTTGATTATATTTTTCAGTCAACGCCCACGGCAGTTTCCAGAGTCAATGTCAATTTTCAGAGCTTTGGTCTTGACTCCCCCCCCCCCCCCCCGGCCCCCGCAGTTTTCGCGGCTCCGCATTCAGGTCTCGGATCGTCTCTGCGCGTCATCGCCTGGCGCTTTATATTGCCGCAGCCCCCTGCTCCAACACGGTCATGCTTCCGTGGTGGCGGGAGGCATGCCTGCTCGCACTTGTTCTATGGTTAGTCGCTGGAAGGCTCTCATTCATACGTCTTTTCACACATGTGGGCTTCACGGTGTCTTTGCTCTGAAGGTATGAGTGAATGACTTTGTGTATTTATTTATGTCTGGTATACCTTGCAGACGCCTAGTTACCTAACTGCCGACTGCCGACACTTCTCTCTTCATGAGTGAATGGCAAAGCTGAATGTAGCTGCGTTGGAGGTGTTTACGTAGTCCAGCGTTGATCCACTGCCCAGCGTGTCTGCCGGACTTAGCCGCCGTGCCTCCCACGACTGCGCACCTGTAATCCTACTACCCACGTAGGAATCATATAGAAAAGCGTACATACTCAGAAAAGCCCGGGAAGTATGATAGCCTGACACAATTGTGCCGTGCAACGTCGTCACGGCGGCTCGTTGAGACTGCGGCTCGGCTGCGCGGAAGACCCCACTGGGCGGCTCTACGGTCCGGCGCATTGTCATAGTCGACCGCTGTGAGATTGGATGTAAGATGCGAAATGTCCGTGCCGGTTGCGCCAATGCTCGTATCTCGAAAAGAATTCAGATTGTTCATGACCGGCACCCGGACAAGTGAGCGCATCAACCTTTTACACGTAATGAGTTGGAGTCGGCTTGCCAAGGGCTCTTTAGCACAGCAAGGAACCTTTAAAACCAGGTGACGTATGTGGTACCTATGTCACCACCAAGACGGAATTTTAGAGTGCCTACCGCCCACGGATACCGTGGACTCCGCGTGCTGCTGGCATGCGGAAGACTGTGGGTGTTTCTCATCAACGGAAGTCTCTTGCCCCCTGCCTCTGACTGCTGCACGCCATGAGCGCCACCTATGTACCGAATGCGTTGGGCGATGTTTGTGTGTCGGGGCGGGTGGTGCAATTGAATCGTTTTGATACCGGTCACTTCCTGACACCTGAGGCGTGACGCCTGACACCCCCCGCAGACGACATGTACCGGCTGCGGCTGGTGCTGGAGGCGGCGCAACTCAACATCCACGGCTCCACACACCTGTTCAAGCTGGCGCAGGACGCCTTCCGCTTCGCCACCTCTGTGGACGGCCCGCGGCCGGCCATGCTGCTGTCGGCGGCGCTGGAACTCGGTCTGCAGGTGGGCAGTCCGACTGGCCCTGTTGTGCTGAGGGCCTGCCCGCCCGCCCCAGAGCCCTCGTGAGGCGGCGGGCACCGCGCTGTTGCCCAGAACACCTGACCTCTTCTGCAGTACTGCAGAGTACTGCAGTACTGCAGGGGGGGGGGGGGGGCGGGGCGGGGCGGGGCGGGGCGGGACGGGACGGGGCGGGGATAGTGGAATGTGCCGTGTTGTGACCCCCGCTGGGACGGAGGCTGCGCAGAGAGCCGCCGTGAGCCGGCCGCCCAACGCCCCGCTAACTTGCCGCCGCCGCCGCCAGGTGATGCGCATGACCCTGACCTCGATGAACTGGAGGCGCCGTGAGATGGTGCGCTGGCTAGTGACCTGCGCCACCGAGGTGGGCGTCGACGCGCTCATCACCATCATGCACAACTGGTACACGCTGTTCACGGCCACGGAGGCCACGGGGCCCGTCGCCACCACCATCATGTCGCACACCACCATGCTGCGGCTTAACCTGGACTTCAAGGCGCAGGAGGACCTGAGCAACGCGGCGCGTCAGCTGGCGCTGCAGTGCGCCACCAAGGTGAGAGGCGTCATCCCGGGCGGCCGTGGGACAGGGGCCGAGGCTGGGGTTAGGACCAGGGCCGGGGCCGGGGCCGGGGTTAGGGCCGGGGCCGGGGCCGAGCCCGCGGTTAGGACCGGGGCCAGGGTTGGGACCGGGGCCGGGGCCGGGGCCGGGGTTAGGACCAGGGCCGGGGCCGAGGCCGCGGTTAGGACCGGGGCCGGGGTTGGGACCGGGGCCGGGGCCGGGGCCGGGGTAAGGACCGGGGCCGGGGCCGGGGCCGGGGCCGGGGCCGGGGCCGGGGCCGGGGCCGGGGCCGGGGCCGGGGCCGGGGCCGGAGCCGGGGCCGGGGCCGGGGCCGGGGCCGGGGCCGGGGCCGGGGCCGGGGCCGGGGTTAGGACCGGGGCCGGGGCAGGCTGGCAGACTGGTACTGGATAATTATGTGCACCAAACCGAGTATTATTGCATCTGGGTATTGTCCCTTTTGATTGACAACTCCTATGTAGTCATTAATAATAAAAACAAACATTAGAAGATCGATATCACTGGTCAGGGGCATGTAAAACATGTAAGACGGGTTAGGACCGGGGCCGGGGCCGGGGCCGGGGCCGGGGCAGGCTGGCAGACAGGTACTTGATAATTATGTGCACCAAACCGAGTATTGTTGCCTCTGGGTATTGTCCCTTTTGATTGACAACTCCTTTGTAGTCATTAATAATAAGAGCAAGCATTAGAAGATCGATACCACCGGTTAGGGGCATGTAAAACATGTAGGACGCATGTCACGGTACCTATTGCGAAATATGCCACCCTGACGCCCCAGCACAAATTTTGTTTTTTGGAAACTGTCTTTTGGAGATATCCACTCCCCCGTCCCATTCCCTAAACTAACTGGCCTGATGGGTCTATATGTATATGTATGACGGCAGTGCGGACCTTTTCTCTGAAACAGTTTATTAAAAATGCGTACGCTCATATGGACCTTTACGAACCCACCCTCATGAATTCTAAGTTGGCAACCAGAGCCAATGCAACGTAAACCTGCTCAAACGACGTTACAAAGTAAACATTGGTTAGATACTCACATATGATGGCACAACATGTTACCATGACTTCTCTTGCATTCACTGAAAATGTTTCTTTTAAACACGTAGCAATTTCGTTTAGTACTTGCTGCGGCATGTGGGTGATTAATTTAATTTATAATCATTCTTGTTTTAGAGAGCTAAAAAGTCAGTTAAAACACAGGAGGATCGGGGAGCTCACATAACTGCTCACCGTCTTAATAAGCGAAGAAGTCCTTCCGCCCCCCGCCCTGCCCAAATGTGCTCCATTCCTACACATATAGCAAGGACGACACGTGGTCGAGCCATTGACTGCACGTGTTTTGACGAGGGTGAAAAAGTGCCCTTCTGTCACCGACGAAATTCGGAACCGTTTTAGCTGTCACCTGAGGCCAGATCTGTCAGAAACCGTTGCAATATAACTCTTGACGCGATATACCACAAAAAAGACAGATAAAATGCAATGCGGCATAACCATGAAACATTATTGTTTCAGAAGTTGATTTGCGCTCAAGTATCACTTGCTGGCCATCAAGCGCTGAATGCTTGCCAGCAAGGACTAAGAGCAGCCTGCATCCTTCTACTTAACATGCACTGAACCCAATTCATTACCGTGGCGAGCACCCGAACCCATCTGTCTCAAATGAAACAACGCTTTCAAACGCAGCTTAGCAAGCTGATCTCGCTCGTCCTAAGAGGCTGTGAACAGCCAAACTTTTAGGACTAGAGAAAACCTAGTTATTTGACATTTCATGTTGTTTGGTACGTCAGGTGACTTGGCCAAAACAATGTGTGCAAAACGCTGATCCGAGGAGCATCTGAAGTGCCCTGAGTCACCGCTGATCTGTAATGTCAGCGCTGATATAATGTACCTTGTAGCGGAACCCCTTAAAGTTTATCTGAAAACCCCGCCGTGACGTCACCGCGGGGCGCCTGGACAAGCCACAACGTTGTAAGCCTGTAGGAAAGGGTCTTTTTTAGAGGCAGCCTTTCGGCACATTGAGGGGGTGCAGACGGCTGAAACACCTTTAACATGAGGCAAAACATGTGTTCTCTTGTAGGTCAGGTGTGCTTTTAAAGCTCAATCCCTTAGCTTTATATTGCGAGCCATTTTGCACAGGCGTTGCAACGCTAACCTAGGTGGCGCCACTGGTATAAGCACCTGGTTTATAGATGGCGCTAGTGCTATTTTTGGGCTGATGATGCTCATCCAGTTGTCCTAGATGCTTACATTTTGCTTCTCGAGGCGTTCTGCGTGTTGGAATGCAAGCTAACTGAGTTCGAAGTATCTTAACATCTTGCATGCAAATACCTTTCCTTTTTCGGTCACCAAGGCATATTCTCGGGTCAATTGCCTGCCATTCTTGTTTAAACGCCATATGATGTTCGGTCACTGTCTTGGTCACCTACATGTGTCAATCTGCTAAGTTTGACGCTAGACTGAAAATTTGACGGTCGTTTGAGCATGATCGACGCTTTTAACCCTCCGAAATTGGCTGAATATTGAACACGTGACATCGATATGCGACGTTTCGAACTCGCCATCGACATTATGTGGGCAGGTTGGTGGAAGAATTATTTGTCCCTGAAAAACGATAATTCCGCCCATGTATGAGATGCAGGACATATGCAGAAAGATAGCAACCCCGAGCAACCTACTAATTCAGTGCATATGTTGTGATGTTCCGGATGTAAAGCACATGGTAAATATAAACACGACACAGATATGCAACACGACACGAGAGAATACTTTATTTACCAAATAGTGCAGGCGTAGGAAGCGGCAATAATACCAAAAGGGTCGTAGCAGTGGACGCGCAAGGCGTCATGCTGTCCGCATCGAGGCACACAGAGATGCGCCGGAGCCTTTGAGTCCAGACCAAATATAGTAGCACGATAAAGTCGGGAAGGCGTCACCTGCCTTCTACGCATCAGAACCACGCGTCCAAGGTATGCGCTCACCAGCTCCAGGAAGGGCGTCGGGACGTGGAACCTGATAAGCCCCCCCCCCCCTCCATCCAACCTGCGGAATAGTGAGTAGCTAGTTCGGCCGGCCCGAAACTGCCACTGCTGGTTATATGGATACACAGTAATACGCGCTCGGGCGGGAGGGGGTCAAATTGAACCCCCCCCCCCCGAAGCTTTTCTAGAGTGGTTTCCAAACGGTGCGCCTGACGTAGCCCCGCGAAATTTTGCATACTGTAGACAATTAAGTGGCGGATCGTTTGGCCTAAAAATTTTGATGTACCTCGTAAGGTCGCTGACCTATGGCAGGTCAAAGTCAGGCCATGGTTTCAGCGAAGACAATTTCTAGGGAATCGTTCAATCCTATCCAACAACGGAGTGTTGGACGAAGCCACATATATCTGAGGTACTTAATTAGGAAGCCCAACAACTGAATTAACTAGTAAAATTGACCTAAGGTCAGTTATAAAGGTCAGACCAAGGTCAAAATCAACACATCTGCCCTAGGCTTTATTTATTTATTTTTTACCCTACGGCTTGCTGTGTGGGGTAGTTTCTGGTGTTCATTTCGGATTTATTGATAACAGAAACCGCATCATACACCTGCCATAGACTTCTTAAAGATCAGAATATGTCGCCGACTTGGAATCACCCATGTCAACATTTTGTTTTTGGGAACATACTATCCAGCGTAATCTGTATCGTTTATCCAAACGCAAAACTCAAAGTGGTCCTGGTCACCATGACCTTCAAAAGGTCAAACGAGGTCACCGACCTCAGATGAGAATGTGACCTTTTGCTTAGAGCAGCCATCTATGTTCCATGGGCCCTTTGGAGACAACCTGGAATTTGACCTAATTTGACCTTACTTGACCAGAAGGTCATGACCAAGGAGTATCAAACTCTGACCTTAGTGAGTTCACGTACAGGTCAACACGCCCTGTGAATTTGGTGTTTCTAGCTCCCTGAGTTTCTGAGATCTCAGGGGGTCAAATTGACACCCCCACCGGAACGAAGTGTATCTAACCGGCCACCCGGGCGCGTATGCTTTTCGAGCCCCACTTAACCAAATTCTAGAATTCACTGCAGCACATTCTGAAAAAGTCCGTTTTTTCAGATGGTGATCAAACGTCGTTTTTTACAATACATTTTAGCCGCATGTGGTAGCTTGAGCTCATCTATACCTACAGACAACCATGCAAACGTCGAAATCTGTGGTGAGTTTTCGATGATAGCATGAGTATTCCTAATAACCGTTCGGTAGCATTGTACTTGGATTTGCCCCACTAGAGGCATGGCCTGGCAGCGCGCCAAGAACGTAGGCGCTCTGGCATGATTGACTCACCCTAAGTCAAGTTTTTGGGACGCCTGTCAAACTAGCAACAGTTTTATATCAAGTTGTACATCGATATTCAGGGCTGTCACGATCCGGCTAAAAATTGATAGGCTTATAACGTTAAGCCTACGCGTGTCAAAACCTGAAAATGTTTTGAAAAGGTGGCCATTCACAACTGCTTGAAGAATATGAGGTTGAAGTTCAAGATCAGTCAGAGCGAACAATTTTGATAGAGCTCGAAATGTGTACTCATAGACCAGTGCCCAAACTTCTTAAAACATTGAGTTTGGGCATATATCTCGCAACGTTTTGTCGTCCAACTTGGCTTTTCGTAGTTTGAGATGCATGGACTTACCTTTTATCAGTCTGCCATTTTTTAGCTGAATTGCGACAGCCCGTAATATCGATCGGCGGTTCGATACAAATATGCTGCTAGCTTGGCAGGTGTAGTTTTGGGGCTAAAGAATTGGCTAGGGCCAAGATTCCGCCAACGTCTCGTTCATCCTTTGACATTGGAGCACAGTTATTTGGCATTATGATTCGCGTTTAAAATTAGCGCTTGTCAATATTGTCGGCGTCTTCACGAATGAGCAGAGCACGCCATTCATGCGTCTGAACGCCAAATCAGAGTTCAACCCTCGCCCTGACTTGATGTT